ACAATGGACAGCTCAGAATCAATTAGACGATTTGGACTTCGCAGATGACCTAGCCCTCCTATCACGTACACACGAACAGATGCAGATGAAGACAGCCAGTGTAGCAGCGGTCTCTGCATCAGTAGGCCTCAGCATACACAAAGGGAAAACTAAGGTCCTCAAATTCAAAGCGGAGAACAGCAATCCAATCACACTTGATGGCGAAACTCTGGAAGATGTAGAGTCCTTCACATACCTGGGAAGCATCATCGATGAGCAAGGAGGATCCGATGCAGACGTAAAGGCGAGGATCGGCAAAGCAAGGGTCGCATTCCTACAATTGAAGAACATATGGAACTCAAAACAACTTTCAACCAATATCAAAGTGAGAATCTTCAATACGAACGTCAAGGCAGTTCTACTGTATGGAGCTGAAACTTGGAGAACTACAACAACCACAATCAAGAAGGTACAAGTATTTATAAATAGCTGTCTACGCAAGATACTCAACATCCATTGGCCGGATACCATCAGCAATAGCCTTCTGTGGGAGAGAACAAACCAACTTCCAGCTGAAGAAGAAATTAGGAAAAGACGACGGAAATGGATAGGACATACATTACGCAAATCGTCAAACTGCATCACGAGGCAAGCCCTAACTTGGAATCCTGAAGGGAAGCGAAAAAGAGGAAGGCCAAAGAACACATTGCGTCGGATAATAGAAGCAGATATGAAAACGATGAATAACAACTGGACGGAGCTGGAAAGGATTGCCCAGGACAGGGTTGGATGGAGAATGCTGGTGAGCGGCCTATGCTCCTTCACGAGGAGTAACAGGCGTAAGTAAGTAAGTAAGTGTAGGTTATATCAGATGAATGATCCTAGGTTAACTGTCAATAGTCTTTTAAATTTCGAAGATCTACACTGTTTTGATGGACAACGAAACAAAAAATAGATTTTGATAAATACTCTAATTACACGTCTCACTCCAGAGAAGCACTGAAGTTGTCCAGTTGTAATAAATCATCTCATGCAGAAATAATAGAAACTATATAAAATTTCTTATTGGTTTTTCCAGATAGTTTTCATGTTTATCATTAGTTATATACACTTGAGGTTCATGAACAGCATTTTCTTTGGAGCTGTGCGAATTATTTTACCAAGTCCTATGTGATATTTTCTCCCTGGAAATTCACCTCATCTTGTAAACATTTTGGTGAACAATTTTTTATCATAGCATAAACGAGGAGAGTGAAGAGGCTTTCACTTCACTATTAAGATCCACTCTTAAAGCGTATTTGGGAAGCATCATCGATGAACAGGAAGGATCGGATATGGACGTAAAGGCGAGGATTGACAAAGCAAGGGCCGCATTCCTACAATTGAAGAAGATATGGGACTCAAAGCAACTGTCAACCGGTGTCAAATTCAGAACCCTCAATACGAACGTCAAGACAGTTAGTTCTATTGTAAGGAGTCGAAATTCGGAGAACTACAACCGTCATCAAAAAGGTATAATCAATTATAAACAGTTGTCTACGCAAGATACTCAATATCCTTTGATCGGATATCATCAGCAACAACCTGTTGTGGGAGAGGACAAACCAGTTTCCAACTGATGAGGAAATTAGGGAAAGACGTCGGAGGTGGATAAGACATACATTACTTAAATCATCTAACTGCATCACGAAGCAAGCGCTAACTTTCAATCGTGAAGGAAAACGGAAAAAGGAAGTCCAAAGAACACTGGAATCGGAAGCAGACATGAAAAGAACGAATAGCAACGAGAAAGAACTGGAAAGGGTTGCCCAAGACAGGGTTGAATGGAAAGTGCTGGTGGGTGGTCTATGCTCCTCGACGAGTGGTAACGGGCGTCAGTAAGTAAATAATATTTTTTTCGTCGTAAATCGCACTTAATAAAATACTTCGGAGTTTTTATGATTTCAAATTTGTCAACTGTTTTTATTTTCTTACGGTATATTATTTTAGAATTACCCAACTGACTTGCTTTTATCCCCACCGGTAAGTCGACTAGCTGTTGAAGCACATTTCCTGTCGATGATTAAAGAAGCCGATGCTTTAAAGCATCGTAGCTACGTTATCAATCAAATGCAAGCTAGAGATCATCGGCAATTATGGAATGGCTTATTACACTTTCGATATGACCAATTTTGGTCGATCAATAGCAAATTAATGGAGCCTCTTCCACAAAATACCAAGGGTAAGTGTTCTTATATCTCGCTACAGATGTTTAATATTAAGTCAGTTATATAAAAAAACAGATTTCTTCGCTTTCACACTTTACGCGTCGTGGTACTCTAGATAAAACTTCCCGCAAACATAACACTAATATCCTTGTTTTTGATAGTGCTATGAAATAGCACTTCTGTTTATATACATCGAATTGCTTTACATTAAATGATAACATTATCTAATATTCACTTGATTTTAAGCTGCATGTTCTAGTATCTGAAATTATTTACATATCTTGACAGAATACATTTTACTATTGAGACTTTGGTTTTGTTACTAATCTCCCTTTATTTGTATCATCTCGGTGGAGTGATGTCTTATTGTTTAGGGCGTTCAACTTTTAAGCCACCAAATCACAGGTTCGAACCTCATTTCAGCTACTCCGATTATTATTATTATTATATTACTGATTATTAGTGTTACCTCATAATTTCCCATTTATTAAAAAGAAGGTATCTAATTAATGTGAAAGAATTTTTCGTTTTGGCGAATCCATTGAATCACTATGAAAACGTCATCTGTGTCATTGCTTACAAATCATGTCTCTTTTTATTTTCGCTTAAATTAGTTCAATAAGCCGTTGTGGATCATTGATAATAAAAAAGAATCGACCTCATGAAATGAATATTTTTACTACACTGTATAAATGTGAACCAAAAATTATTTTTAGTCTCAACAAGAATTTTACAGATGAGTGAAAACTCGGAGGTTTTTGTACTTTTCTATTTCATCATGACACATTCTACATCATGGCATAGACACATGCATAACAGCGAATGTGGCTATTTGCAAATGTACTCTGTACTTGGTCTCAAACATTTTATTCGACTCAGTGGGTTAATCGTAGAAAAATTTAACTACTTTCTGATTAAAATGACTGTTTTCACTCCCAATTGAATATTTTCTCTGCTCCCAAATCATATCATTTACTATACGTTGTTTCTCTTGATATTCATTTTTAATTTGAAGTATGTCCTATATTTATTACCACGTTTTTCTTCAATAGTCTTTTCGAAAACTTAAAAGTTGAGGTGATTAGTGCTATTGTTTATGCCATGTTTTTGAATCTTATCATATCTCTTATTTGTTCCTAATCGTCATCAATAATTTAATTCTTACAATATAAACTTAGTGTCCGATTTCCTACATATGGCACAGAATAGGAAACTGCTGAGACCGTTTCAGTTCCTAAATGTTAAATTTTATAAACTTCCATGTATTGGACACCAGCTTCGCTTTATTGTAGTACATTATATTGACTAAATCGAACAACAGTAATAAATATATTTGGAAATTTTTTATTGTATTCGAGTAAGTAGATTTTTTAAACAGACATTACTACGATAAATCTGATCATAACAACACTACATGCTGTGCGTCAAGAAAAATCATGTTTAGCAGTGTATAAAAAAGTTCTACATTTATTCACTCACGCTTAATTTAATCTTAGCACCTTACTTGTCTTAAAATACATATACGTATTGAAGAGTAATATGAATTTCTTCTACACTATTTACTATTGTGAGATGTTCTTATTCACCTATCATCTTTAGATCTTCCTTTAGAGGAAATGTCTGCCCCTGGAATTCCAGAAAATAAACCATTATCTTCAAGTCTCAATAACATGTCATCTTCAAAGTGTAGAACTTTTCGTTACATTCCATGTCGTCTTTATTGTGTTTCTGAGAATTCAAGTTCCACACCATCTGGTTTCATTCAAAAACTTATCCGTCCTTTAAATGATGACGGTTCTCTTACTTCACTTCAAGATGCTATCGAAATTCTTTTGCATACAAATAAAAATCCACTTGTACAAAATACCAAACCTAAAGGTAATCTTTGTAAGTATTCATATATTATTTCACTTTTTAAATAATTGTAGAGGCTAATTTCCTCTATATTTGACTCCGATAAATAGTATCCTGTTGAGTATTTAACACGGGCTAAATCTCCTAGTATAATTATGGATTTACTCTAGATTATTCAAAGGCCTGAACACCAGTTGTAGAGATAGTTTATTGTAAAATATTAGTAAAATCCACAACCGTGCAGAAGGCAAGCATACTGGGAAACGAGTGAGACAGTGTGTCTGTAGGAGTGGATAAATTATTGATTGTCTGTGTGTTACAACCAATGGGAGAATATATTTAAATACTGATGTGCAGACACGCGCTCAATCAGACTCACACATAATTTTACATAGTGGAATAAATGTCTGAATTACAGTGAGCAGACAAGTAATACAATAATATTAATGGTTGAAATTGAGTCAATTGTAGCTAGACCACCATGGAAAACCTGGAAGCAGTGGACGGCCGTTCCGTCCTAATGTAGGACTCCTCAACAGTGCTCATCCACGATCCCGTCTCACGAGATTCGGACCCAGGACCTGTCACTCTCGTGCCTATTAATGTCAAATCGATCTACTGAGAATAAGTAATTTTATGATAAAATCACATTAATAACTAAGATTGTAAATATGTCATTGGTTAACTACTTACTTTATGCCATCGAAATCGAGTAATTAGTTTATTAATGCTACTTAAAATTCAAACTTTATTTTACTTTCAAGCACTTAGCAAATGATATTCATGCTCTACTAACTACTATGCCTGTAAACCAAGCAATGTAGTCTTACCTTTCTGTGACAATGTTCGAACTTGTAATAACGTATATGTTAATTAGCCATTTAGCCTAATGTATATCCTGACTTTTGTTACGCGTTTGGTTACCTTTTTCATTAAAACAAAATTGCTAAGCATTATGGAGAATAAAAGATTGTATTTTATTTAGTTTTGTACAGATCGAGGTCAAAACGTCTTTATTGAATAGAAAATGTGATTATACTCTCGAAATTATTTTCTCCGAATGTTATTAAGGATGAGTTACGAAAATGTCGATAATTCGAGTAAAGCATGTACTTCATTAATTACATCCTTTTCTTATTTAAATGATTAAAAAATACACAGGAAATGAAAGCGTACTTTAAAAATATACGTTACTTTTCCTTCAAAGCACTTTCGTGCTTTATGATCCCATTTATCCAACGTGATTCAAATAAGCTTCGTCTATACAACTGATTGATGTACCTACATTTGTAAATCATGTTTGTCTTGTCCAATATGGTCTGATTCTTTTGATTTGTAATTTTGATGTAACTATGTTTTACCATTTTTGTCCTTCAGGGTATCTGTTTTTCATCCATGGTATCACATTACCCCACGAAACACCGATGCAATGGATCAGCGAACACTTATCCTATCCTGACAATTTTGTGCATGTTGTTGCACGTCCTCAAAGCCATTCTCATCGAATTAAAATTCATAATCCTTCATACATGTAAATTTTTCCTAACATTACGGTATATTGTCTTTCAAGTACTTTGAATTTAAATTTTCCAGTCCCAACAATATATGTTACAGGGTCGATAACTTTGGTATCTTTATACGATTATGATGATAATAAATTCTTACCTAATCTGCTTTCTTATCTCTTGTAGTTTTATTGAGATTAAACCCGGAATGTGTCAAACATTAAATTAATAAATTAGTACAAAAAAATATGTATTTATAAGTATTGTACATTCCCAAGCAAAATGATTCGGCATTGTAAATTACAGGACTGTAATTACAAATCTTATTGGAAGAGACCTAGAAAAAAATACTTTTAAAGAAAGTGATAGTAGTTCGTTGATCTGCATTATTAAATATAAATTGCTGCGATATTCTAGTAACTATTTTCTGTTTTATTGTAGTTTGATATCATTGGTAAGTAACACATTATGAATCATAAGTTGGTGATGTTAGCGTCACCATATATTTTCCATTTACATATTTTCACTGGATATCGTGTTAGTCCGAGCTATCATGCATCCGAATCCATGGTGTATATTACGTAGAAAACAATTGTATATAATGTATGAACTTACATTAACTTTAACGTAATATTGTATCGCACATTCACTACTGGATTTCATGCATCTTATTACCTAAATTTTATAATATCTCAATAACCGTTATTCAATTTGTACATCTTACTATTGTGTCAGAAGTGCATACGATGTCGTAAGAGAAATTTGGAAATAAATTTTTCGGCACACCCAAAGTATTATAAAATTTTATAAGGATCGTGTGGAGGATATGATCCTAAATATCACCTGTCTTATTTAGGCGTGTATTGCGTTTACTAATAATCTTTGACATTATCATGTGGTTTATAGTAAACAAATATCATTCAACAAGTTTGGCTGTTACCATTGATTACGTGTTGTGAAGATCCCAACTATAAAATGATTTTGAGTAGGCTTAGCTACACTACTAAAATAAAACGTAGAAACTCACATGATGTTCCGTTGATTTGTCTTGCCAAGTTAGTCAGTAGTTCAGGATAAGAGTTAGGAAAGACAGATAATAACAAGCTTTAGCAGAAGACAAGGTGTAATTGGACGATGAATGCTGTTGAACATATTGGATGTGAAATAAAGACGCGAAGACGATTTTCGATACCTGTGACATAGATATTAGCAAATCATTAGGAAAATTTAGGCAATAATGAGTCGTCAATGTGTGATTGTTATGCGCAATACATTTTAGAAACTTATTTTCCTTAACCGAAATGGTTTTTGTAGAGAAAGAGTTACATTATATGGTGAGGATGTTACTTCAAGCAGATAAACATCCGTTATAGAGACTTATAATTTTGATATCCTTTGCTAGCCAATTTAAGCATGAGAGAATTTCAACCATGTAATGGCACAACCATTTATTAAGCATAACCTCATTATCGAATGTAAGACCCCATTCTTTCAGAATCACCTTCACCAGTATGTTAGCCCACTATCTAACAAATGTTGACTTCTGAATTACCTTTTTTCAATGAATTTAGTTCATTCATGGTTATTTTCCTGTTATTTGCTAGGTACAGTTTGTTATGTTCAAACATGGTTCGACAGGTCTCATAAAAACTCACATGGCTTAATGTGTTAACTGTTCCTTATGGTATTTTGTGCTACCATATAACTTGTAGGAATGGTAATCAAAACTGTTTTTTTTAATTTGGACTCAAATAATAGCCGTGACATGATGCTAACAGTTGGATAGTAAAAAAATAATTAGGCTCAGTTGTAACAAGATAAATACGAGTATAACAAAAGTTAAATAACTTCATGATCGCTTTTCTCAGATTCTTAAAACTACAAACTATATAACTTTTTGTTAATGTTACCAGTAAAGAGCAACATTTTAGTGGTCATTTAAAACCACAACCGAATAGACCAAACTTTATAAGATGTATATATTTGTGTAGGTATAATTACCAAGGTTTGACCTGATAATTTCGAATAAGTTGAGCATATAGTGGATCTTTATCAATAAATAATATATTTGTAATATCCCAATGAGTAGAAAAATGAGATTTTCTGACGTTTTGTGACTTAGTGTAAGCCACTTCAGAAAATAAATAACCAAATCAAAATTAATCCAAGTTTAAGTAGTACAACAGAACAACAAGAATATTATGTGATCAATAAAAAAAACAGGTCTAAATAAATCAATGTCATGTCATGTCATTTCGGTCAAGGTGATTCATAAGCGACATATATGTAAATTCACTTGGGATTGTTTTGCTTGTATCTTCCCTTTGAGGTTTAAGACTGCAATTGATCAGTCTGTTATTGGCATATGTGCATACTGTACGTATGCCTCGATATTGCCTTAACTCACAAGCTCTTATAAGCAAAGATGGATAGTGGCTAGCAGTGGAATCCAGGACGCGCGTTTCGTCCTATTTGAGACTCGTCAGCTGGATACACCTGCATCTCACTTGATGTTCACTCTGGGACTCGGACTCAGTACCATTCGCTTCAAACGTCATCGCGTTATTCACTCAGCTACTGAGTCCTGATAGCCATTTGCTTGTGCAATGGGGTGAATTTAAATTCACTTGGTAGAATATCATTAAACGACCGGCCATTTTTGTAATTTTTTCACCCCTTTAGAAAAATTTTTTCATCCCATTTTCAAATATTTCTCATTCCGTTTCGTCCAATTAAATGGCTAGTTTTAAATGCGTTATAATTGATTAGTTATGTCTTAAAATTGTTATAAAATGTCAGTACTTGTCGACAGAGTACATTTTATTCAAATTATGGAGGAGAGTAACGTACCATGTACAAGCTCTGTCGTTTCTCACGTCACAGAAACGGAGAACGTATTCTTGAATACATTGTATCTCATAGCGTTCCAATCAACTGAAGCGTTAAAGTGCGCGATCAGAACTTATGAAAGATCTACGTACTGCCATTATGTGGTGAGAGATTCGCATTTCCACAGAGATCGGAAATCGTATGTTAACTTTGTATGTTGGAAAAATGGCCGTAGAACACCTAGAGGTTCCTCACAGCCGATTAGACGAAGGAGGTAATTTGATTAGTGTTATTATATTTTTTTGACGAAGTATTTCCATGAACACTCAATGTTCGGCCTTCATCTTTTGTAAGTTTATTGAAGGTTACTGAACTTTTGTTCGTGGGAATGTGCATCACAATCACGAGTGCAATCCCCTGAGGTACGACAGTAATTCTTGGGTGCGCAGGTTAACGGGGGTTGAGTTTGGAACAGTGCGACCACTCCTGATATCTGGGACAGCAGCATTCGATATTAAGCACTTTGCTAACCAAGCTTATGGAAAGCGTCTGAATGCTCAAGATATTTTTAATATGCGCTACAAAGTGTTCTCACAGGTCAACCTTCCTGGTAAGCAATGTGCCTCGAAGTTACGCCTTTCTTCAGGAAAATCTTCACTGTTAAGAGACTGAGTAAAGGCTCTTTTTAGGGCCACCTACAATTTGATTTACATTATTTTGTTTCAAAGGTCAAGTGGTGAATATCAAAATTCATTTGACATTAATAATCATAATGCGATTATCGCTCATGTATTCGTAAACTTTTTTATAAGGTTTATGAAATATAAAGTAAACGATTTCTTATAAAAGAATATCTCATCTAATGAACAGTAATGTAATAATTTTAGATTCTAAGTAATGTGATTACCGTTCATGTATTAGTAACACATTTACGTCTTTTGGTTATTGTTACCTTGGCCTTCATTATTATTCATAAATAATCATCATATCACTTTATTTATTTTTACACCTCTATTACCTTTAATTACTGTAACAAAAACATTTTAATCACCAATTTATTTATTACATTGGAATTAAACGTCAGTATACCTAAATGTTGATTCACCTTATTCATATTTATCTGTATAATTGAGATATAAATTTAGTGCGTCAGACGACGTAGGCTTGTTCATCTACACCTAATGCAACCAATATTTCAAATGCTTGTCAAAAATGGTTATTTTCGTAATATTTAGATATTTCGGGTTTCATATTATAAAGATTAATATTCACACATGACGAAAAATGTACATCTAGTTTTTTATTGTTCCTCTATTATGCTTAACAAAGGGAACCGATGATTTTCAAAAATCATTCCATACCTTATGAATAAGTGACGTTTGCAATGTCATTTACTAATTCATGTATTAATTTGGCTAGACCGAACACTTCGAAAATATTTGCTATTGACATAACGCGAAATAACCTAACGCACACTTCCCAAACCCAATAACCGATTTACATGATCGCTTACGCACACAAGTATTTATTGTCATAATTATAAACTGCTCAACTACAAAGAAGGTACAGGTAAAAAGAGTTAACGCTTTTAATGGACTAGCAAAATATAAGCCTATTACAATATAACGTTTTATTAACGAAACCGTTTATAAAGCGAAAGTAAACAATTATTTTGTATTAAGAATTACTACTTACAACACAACAATACTAATTGCCTCTTTCGGAGAAATTATTACTTCTTTGAGATAGCGTAAAAGTGGCTTAATTTACCGATCCTTTATGGTTCGCGTGATTTATACATGCCCTAATCATTATTTTATCATCATGATTTATTGATATGTTCTTTTTTATTAAAATACCATGTGTTAGGAAAAAACTAATGGTATTACCTAGGTGATAATTTGTTTAATAATTGTGTATTAAACATTTGACTACCTTTCTACTTCAGTAATCACTATTATCAAATAATAAAACCAGTTCTTAGTTTTTTTCCAAAATTTTCTTTTAATAAGATTCATATAATTAATCTTGTCAAGATAACTAATGACTTCAATTCCAGTTCTACTTGATCGAAAGAAATTTTATCCCAATATACATTCACTGACAGGAGTATAGCAGGGTAGTGAAATGTAGTTGGTGTATTTCTCTTCAGAAGTTAAAATTTTTACCAAGACACGGATGAAACAAAAAGAACTATTTATTCAAAATAAATTTCAAATGTAAAAATGCAAATTCTCACATTCAATCAAAGCACTTGATGCTGTTTCGATTTGAACTAGTCAGATTACAAAGATGAACAGTTTACGACCAATTAAAAAATTATTAAAGGTGAAAAAATGTTTGTTCATTATCACTTGAACACAGTTGCAAAAACACGTTCACCAATTCCTAAATTGTTTTAGCACAGTAAAATTAAGCATTATATGGAACGCTTCAGCTACTCTCCTTTCTTTGTAATTGGAAAAACCTTTTTGTAAAATTTTGATATTTTTTTAAATCGATTTGGCGGTCGTTGAAAATGGCGTGAACTGCTGATGATTGAATTTGAAGTCTATCCAGTTCTACGGGATTATTGGGAGGTTTCTTTGCGTACCTAATATGTTCTTTGACACGAGTCAAGATTTCGCGAGATGACTCTCCAATGTAGAAGGCAGCATAATCGACACAACCTAATTTGTATACGCAGTTCTGTGTTGACATGAATGGAATTCTTTCTTTTAAGCGAACTTAAGTATTTCGAAGTGTGTTCGTTGTTTTGTAATATACTTTAATTCTGTTATAATTTTAATAATTTTCCTATGAAGATTATTAGATGTATATTAAAACAAGACGTTTCATTGCGTAATAATAATAATTCGAATGAAATACCATGAATTGGTATTGCAGTTTTACCATATCGTCATGGCACAACAGAACTCCAAAGAATCTTAAAGGAACAGATAACGAAAACGAATCCGAAACTAAGTCATTACAGTTGACAAGGTGAGTATTTTCTGAAACGGTAGTCTTAAGTAAATCAGGTTTGAGTAGCACCAACGAAACTAAAGTATCCTTAGTACTGCTGCACTAAAGCGATGTATTAGTAGCATTTCATCCTGAAGACATCCATTCATTCACCGCTGAAAGAGACATGGAATATACTAATAATTTTTGAAACACCCACCTGGATTTTTTGGTGTGAGATAGTTACGAATAATGTCGCGAATGGGGGTAACTGTTTTTCAAGCATGAAAATAACAAAACCATGACTTACGTCAGTAAGTGACCACCAAATAAATTGCTGGAAAAGGTCTAGATGTAGTTATAGATCAGTTTGAAGATAGCTGATTAAAACAATGAAAAAACAAAACTTACGGACGAGTA